ATTTTGGGCCAATGACCAGGAGACGGGGAATTCTAGTCTCGACTTAGGCAAGAAGGCTGATAAGTGATTTTGTGCCAGGAGACGGGGAATTCTAGTTTCATCTTGGGCAAGGAAGCCAGCTGGGTGATGCGGGGCGTTGTGGCCACACTGGAGGGCCGCTCATGTGTCCTCGGCCGAATTGAAAGGAAGACACCAGGCAGAATTCCTCGGGATGAGCGAGCTCCGAAGTACATTCGAAGACCTCTTTTATTAGAAAAGTTACTTACAGCGTCATCAAAAAGGAGCGTATCAAAAGGCGCATATAATCACACATGGTACAAATAAACTAATGAAAAAGTCACAGCATTCTAGAAATAAACCAATGGGAAATCACAGCATGGCAAAGGGTGGGCAGAGGGGGAATAGAAAGTTACAGGCCAGCGTAGGGAGGGGGGGAGAAGGGGCAGGTGTGGGAGTAGCGGGCGCACATCGTTCATGTTACATGAGGCTGCATAGTGAATCCTGGCCGTTTAGGCCGGAAAGATGTTCCTGGTGCGATAGTTTCTCTCCATCCCTGTGTGTGTGTGTGTTTCAGGCAGGCAAAACTGCCCTGCACACACACACACACACACACACGGAATGGATTCCAACAGGGTGATTTGGAGCCAATTGCCAGGAGATGAGGAGTTCTAGTTTCCTCTTGGGCAAGAAGGCCAGCTGAATGGTTTTGGGCCAATGACCAAGAGATGAGGAGTTCTAGTTTCTGGGTGATTTGGGGCCAATGACCAGAAGACAGGGAGTTCTAGTTTCATCTTGGGCAAGAAAGCCAGCTGAGTAATTTTGGGCCAACTGCCAGGAGACAGGGAGTTCTAGTTTCATCTTGGGCAAGAAAACCAGCTGAGTGATTTTGGGCCAATGACCAGGAGACGGGGAATTCTAGTCTTGTCTTAGGCAAGAAGGCAGATAAGTGATTTTGTGCCAATGACCANAGTCCTCAACACCACCCCAGACACTTCCCTTCCCTCTACTTTCCTTTCCTCCTTTTCCTTTCCACCTTCTTTTCTTCCTTTCCTTTCCTTTCCTTCTCTTTCTTCCCAGGGCAAGAGTCCTCAACACCACCCCAGACAAATCATGGTCCAATCCTGGCTTGAAAAATATATATATATCCAAACTTCTGGATTTCAGACCCCTTCCCCTCCCCTCACCTTGATGAATTTCATGAGAAGCTCACAGTCGCTGCGGGCAGCCGGACGGATGATGACGCAGTCCATCGTCCTGGCTCAAAGTGACCCCGGGGGAAACCACTCCAGGCCTTTTTCTCCCTCCCAGGATGGGAACAATTCGCAGTGGGTGGTTGCTAGAGGCCGGTCACGTGCCCGAGGGTGCGGCTATCACACTTTCCCCTGCCTGGAAAGTGCCAGGAACATTTATGGAAGCTTTAATTGGGGTTCGTGTAAATCTTTGCCCTTTACGACTTTATAAGTGACTCTTTTATAAGTTTCGCAAGTTGATATTCCAAGGGATTAAACCGGAGGAATCGACAGGATAGAGGTGAGATCGTCCACTAATCTACAGCTAGACCTCAACGGCCGCAATTCGGCTCTACGTTTCGGTCGCTAAGCGAGGCGGTCGTTAAGTGGGGCTAAAGTCACAGGCTAGTAGTTAGTTCCTGGGCATGGACGGAGCGCCTGCCTCGCTCCTAAGCTGGAGGTGGCCCTTCCAGAGACAGGTGACAAGGTGGAATGGGTTGGCGAGGCGAGTTTACGGGTTAAGGGGCTGGGCTAGAGGCTGGGAGTTCTAGTTCTTCCTTAAGGATGACGCTACCTGGGTGGCTTTGGCCCAATGACTGAGAGATGGGGAGTTCTAGTCCTGTCTTAGGCATGAAAGCCAGCTGGGTGATTTTGGGCCAATGACCAGGAGACGGGGAGTTATAGTTTTGTCTTGGACACGAAGGCCAGCTGGGTGACTTTGNGAGGCGTTCCAGAGTTATGTCGGAACATACATACATCCATCGACACATTTTTAGAGAGAGAGAGAGATAAAAATAAATACGATGACCCCCAAAACTATCTCTGGGGCAGCTCCCCGAAGTCTTTCGCCGTGTTAAACAGTGTTAAAAGCGTCCACCTTTTTCTTTGCCGCCTCAGTTTCCCCGTCGGAAAGAGAAATCAACATGGAGCAAGCCGCGGGGGAAGAGATCGACGGATCGCTGAGCCTCCCCTTAAGCCAAGATACCTTTGAGGAGATCTGGACGTCCCAAATCACCAACCTGTTTGCTGTGAGTGTGAAATTTCTCTTCAGCCATTTTGGGGGACTTCAATTCCCAGAATCCCCCAGCCGCTGTGGAATCCTGGGAGTTGAAGTCCCCTCCCGAAAAAAGTTTGAAAAACACGGATTGATCGACTCGATTGGTTTGCCTGAGTCGCCGCCAAGCGCTACCTGGTCAACTAGGTTACAAGGAGGCTTGTCTCTTGTGGAGGAGAACGTCTCTTGACCAAGCCACGATTGGTGGTTTCTTGGGCGTTGAAATGCCCCGGATTGTTGGTTTGTCAAATCAGGAAACCGTAGCTTAAAAAATCAACATTTTGGCGGACTCTTAGCGGGCCAATCCGTGATATCCGGGATATAATTATAACGTATTTGCATGTTTTAGGAATCGGAGATGATGCCCGCTTCCATCCAGCAAGCCACCACTTTCCACCAAGAAGCGGGCAGTTCCATGGATCAAACCAACTTTGGCTTGTTGGCAGCTGGAGCTCCGTTGGTGCATCTGGCTGAAAGCTATACGGCGGGAGAAGACTACAGCAACTTCTCGGGTTTGGGAGAGTTTCCGGTGGACTCCCAATTCCAGCTCAATGAGCCCAAAGATTATGGGGCCGGGGAGAGCTGCGTCTTCCCCCCCACCGAAGACCATGCTGGCCAGTTCGACTTCGATCTGGAGTTTGAGAAGTCGGGCACCGCCAAGTCGGTCACTTATACGGTACGAAGTGAGACCGGGGAGATCGCCAGTTCTAGTACTTAAATTGTGGGGCAGAGGTCTTCTCTCCCCCCCTCCAAAAAAATTGGGTCTTCTATGTTGATCGGGGACATCTGGGAGGGGGCTTAGGTCAAAAAAGTCAAAATGGCTGCCGCCCCGGATCGTTCCCTTTCCCCCTATGGAGGTATCAGGTCAACATAACCTAGATTCCATCTTTCCTTGCTGGCAATCTCGGTTTGCCATCGATCCTGGTTTGTTAAAAGCGCACAGGGTGGGACAGGTGAGGTCAACTTAACTTAGATTACACATTTCCTTGCTGGCAATCTCGGTTTGCCATCGATCCTGGTTTGTTAAAAGCGCGCAGGGTGGGACAGGTGAGGTCAACTTAACTTAGATTCCGCGTTTCCTGCCGGCAATCTCGGTTTGCCCTCGATCCTGAACCACTGCAGTGATTTGCTTAACGACTGGCAAGAAAGGTCGTGAAACGAGGCGAATCCCAACCGTTGTCTCGTTTAGCAGCAGAAATATACGGCCCCATTGTGGTCGTAAAGCGAGGACTACCTGAACTTCCTTATCCACTGCCCCCAGGAAGAATAGGTCCCCCTCCTCTATTTCCTTTCTGAGGCTATGGGGTGACCCCTAGGACACCCCCCTCCTCCACGAATACAGCTAGCCCTCGACTTACAACCGTTCGCTTAATGNAAGGAGATGCCCGGCTTGATGCCAGCTCCAAAGATGGCCTCGCAAGTCTCTCCCCCTCCCTTCCCCACGCTCGCGAGAGCGCGCTCCGCGGGTTCGAGCCGGGGGAATCCCCACCGCGTGCGTTCCTTTGCAACTCGCGGACCCAAGTCGCTTTTTCCCCCCTCTCTGCGCGGCCAGTTTTGGGAGACCGGATCGCTATCCGGCAGCGGAGTCGGTAACCCACCGGGTGGAGGGTGGTGGTGGTGGGTGGGGAGGCTTCGTATTGCGGGGGTCGGGGGGCTCGGCTTTGGCGGCTTCGCCCTCCGCTGACTCAACCCGGCGCTTCCGCTCCGCTTCGCCTGGCTGGCCGGAGCTTGAGGAAGCGAAAGTGGAGCGGAGAAAGCGAATGGAACGTTGGAGGCCGCCGCGTTCGGTTTTGGAACGCCGCGGCGCCCGGCGTTCCACCGATGGAACGTTGGCGTTCTCTTGTTTTTTCCCACGCTCTCCCCGCTCCGTTCGGAGAGGGGAGGGGGGAAAAAACACGACCCCCTCCTCAAATACCATGGATCTAAAGCTGGGAAGGAGGGGGCCAAAAAAATCCCCAGCCCCTTTGACCCAAGGGAAGCCCCCCACCCCTTTCCCTAAGAAGGGGGGTGGGGGGGGGGAGAAGGAAGATTTGGGGAGGGGGGAGACGTTAATGCTGCTCTGTCGATCTTTCCTGTCTCCCCCCCCTTCCTCCGGGCAAAAAACTTTGCTAAAGAAGACCCCCTCCCCAAATGTTGGAATGGTAGAGAATTTGAAAAGGGGAGGGGGGGTCAGAATGCAAAGAAGGGTGTGTGTGTTAAATTAGAGGAAGGGGCTGCTGGAGGATTGTGATGGCTTTCTTTGAAGGAAGGGTCCCCTCTTTTAGGAAGGGTCTTCCCCCCCCCCTCTCCCCTTTTAGATAGGGTCTTTTCAAAGGCTTTCCTGGATTTTGGGGCGGGGGGCGAGAAACAGGTCTTGCAATAGCCGGGACAGCTCTTAAAACCGAAGTCGAACCGATTTGCAAGCTTCAATCTTCGCGGGGAAATCGGATTCTCCTTTTCTCTCTCGCTTCCCCCCCCCCCTATGAATAATACAGTCCCCCCCCGTATTCCTCTGAATAGTACAGTCCGCTCCGTTGTCGGCCGCAGTGGGAAGGAACCAAAAGAAAGGGCCGAGGGGGGTATAAATTGGAATTGCTAAAAAAAAGGGGGGGTTAAGTGGTTTTTTTTGCACGTACACATCGAGATGCGTCGCGCTGAAGATGAAAAAAATATATTTCTGAATGAAATAAAGCCCCGGTAAGGCTTTAATCATTTCTTTACGCCGCGGTATAGCCTCGCTGGCCTCTTCCTGTTTTGGCTTAAAAAAGGATGCAAAAGGAAAGCAGATTCACCTTTTTGTGATTCTTTGCAAACTTTGCTAATCGAGCCCGGCGACAGGATGATAGCTATTTCCGGGAAACTTGGTGAGGGAGGGGCACACACAAACACACACTCATTTAAGTTTCCTAAAAGAAAGAAAAAACAACGACCCAGAATGCATTGCCTGTTTTGAAAAAAAATAGTTTAGGGGTGCATTTTCTGCCAAGCCAGAAAAATCGGATCTCTCAGTTGCCACCAAACTAGGTAACGGAATCAGTGCAAAATAGGGATCTCTGATAAATCAATGCAACGAGGCCCAAATGGAGCGGGGTCTGTGTGGGGAGGGGGGGGGGCAATGCCAAAGAAAATGTCCAATTTGGGGGCGTTGGATGGGGGCAGAATTTGGAAGCTGCAGAGTTTTAACGTCTAAATCAGTCTAAAAGTCTTAAATCGGGCCTTTTTCACAAGCTTGGCCCCTTTAAGATGGGTGGACTTCAATTCCCAGAATTCCCCAGCCAGCAGAATTCTGGGAGTTGAAGTCTAACCTGTCTTAAAGGGGCCAAATCTGCAAAATATATAGATACCGATAGATAGATAGATAGATAGANGATTTCCCAACAGATCCGATTGCAGGAGATCCGCCTTTGAACTCCGGGCCTAACAAATGCGTTTCTTGACCCACAACACAATTCACAATTTTTGCAAGTCGACAAAAGAAAGATATTCTCGATGGTGAAGTTGCATCGGCTACGGAAATAAGCAGCAAACCATCGGTCCTCGGACTTACGACCGTCACAGCATCCCTTGGAGCGACGGGGGTCGAAATTCAGGAACTAGGAAGCACGGGACAGGCAAAGTGAATTGGGGGGGGGGAGATCCAGATTCGTTTAACAACCGTGGGAACAAAACCTGGCGGGATTGACTTATCCGCCTTGCTTAGCAACGGAAATTCCCATCCCTATTGTGGTCGTTAAGTCGGGGGGCTAGAAGAGAAGGAGAAGGGGTGGGGGACATGATAGCCATCTTCCAATATTTGAGGAGCTGCCCCAAAGAAGAAGAGGGAGGGGGTGTCCACCCATTCTCCCAAAGCCTCTTGAAGGCAGGAGAACAGAATTAGAATAACAGAGCTGGAAGGGACCTTGCGGGTCATCTAGTCCAACCCCGCCCAGGACGAGGAGAAGCAACGGGTTGGAAACTCCTCAGGGAGAGAAGCAACTTGGAATTAAGGTGTAAATGTAAACAACTAACTGGCGGAACCGCTTGTCTGAAAGGGTACAGGGTCTCCTGCTTGAGCAGGGGGGGGGGGTTGGACTAGATGACCTCTAAGGCCCCTTTGAGCCCTACGGTTCTTTTCTCAGTGGGGCAGCCCGCCACTAGAGTCGCCCAGAGATGCCTTTGTCCGGAATGAGATTCGAATAGGGGTCTTCTCTCCTGCTTGAGCAGGGGGTTGGACTAGAAGACCTCCAGGGTCCCTTCCAGCTCTGTGATCTCCGTTCTCCCCCCCACACATCTGCCTCCTTACATTCCAGAGACAAGCTGGGGCAGCGCTGCCCGCCTTCCGAACTTGACTTCCTTACCCAGCCGGTTCAAGCCGGCCCAGATCGCAGGAAAGAGTGACGGGGATGCGGCGCGTGTGCACGCGTCCCCCGTGAAACCGCTTCTACCTAGCTCGCTATGATCTCCACCTTGGCTTATTTGAAAGCGAGNGAAAAAAACTCACAACGACAACTTTACGACCTTCGTGAAATGGAAGGAGTTTAGAAATTCAACAAGTACGGTTGAATAAATACAGTTAATAATGTCCTCGGCTTATGGCCACCGTTGAGCCCCATTGGTAAGTGAGATGGTCGTGAAGCGAGTTTTGTCCCGTGTTGCCACCTTTCTGGCCGCCGTTGTTAAGCGAATCGCACTTTTGAAGTTAGCAAGATGGCCGTTAAGCGAATTAGCCTGCCCTGCGGACTTTGCTTGCGGGGAGGTCATAAAAGAGGGCACAGCAGCGGGCGTAAGTATGAGTCAGCTGCCAAGCATCAGAAATGACTGGGATGCCACAAACGGTCATAATGCGAAAAACGTTTCAGTGCCGTCGTAACTTTGAATGACCACTAACCGAACTGTCGTATGTCGAGGACTCCCTGTTTAAATTTAATAAATGCAAGTAGTCCTCGATGTAACGGCCACAATTGAGCCCAACATTTCTATTGTTAAGTGAGACCGTTGTTAAAGTGAGCTTTGCCTCATTGTGCAACCGTCGTTAAGTGAAACACTGCCGTTTTTAATTGAGTAACCCAGTTGTTAAGTGAATCTGGCTTCCCCCTTGACGCAAAAGGGGATCGCGTGACCCTGGGAACGCCGTGACCGTCATAAATACGAGTCAGTCACCGAGCATTTGAATGGGGTGGTCGTAAGTGAAAAACAAGTCATGTTTTTCAACGTTGTTGTAGATTTAAATGGTCATAATCCGAGGACTAGCCATAACATGAATTTTTCAGTGCCGTTTGCAGCTTTGAGCAGTCACTAAATGAGACAGTTGTAAGTCAGGGACCGCCGGTTGATTCGTTCCGGGAATTTTAAAAAAAACTTTAAACTTAAAATTAAAAACAAGTCACATTTTTCAACGTTGTAGATTTAAACGGTCGTAATCCGTGGACTGGCTACAATGTGAATTTCTCAATGGTCACTAAATGGGACGGTTGTAAGTCAGGGACTGCCGGTTGATTCGTCCTGGGCGTGTTTTTTGGGATGCTTTTAACTTAACTGCAGGGGGCTGGACTAGAAGACCTCCAAGGTCCCTTCCAGCTCCTTCTCTTCTAAATATTCCTTTATCTTTCTTTCTCTCCCGCAGTACTCGCCGGAGCTGAATAAGCTGTATTGCCAAATGTGCAAAACCTGTAAAGTGCTGGTGAAGACCTCCGGGACTCCCCCGCTCGGTTCCGTCATCCGGGCCATGGCCGTTTACAAGCAGTCTGAGCACATGGCCGAAGTGGTCAGGCGCTGTCCCACCCACGAACGGCAGCCTATGCACAACGACGGTCAGTCGGGGGCTTCAGAGGGAAATGGGGAGGGGCCTTTTGGGACACAAGGAAGAGTTATAGGAAGGCTGTGTTGCAGGGGAACCTGAAATCTGGGGAGGGGGGGTCTTTAGGGACACAACGGGGATGTATTGCAGAGGGTTTGAAATTTGGGGAATGCTTCAGTGGTCGTAAGTGTGAAACACGGTCCTCTTTTTATGTGCCGTTGTCACTTCGAATGATCACTAAGCGAACCGTCGTAAGTCGAGGACCAGTTATAATTGGGGAAGGGTGGGGGAACTCAACCTTCTGTGGTTGTGACGGCCATCAACTCAAAATGTCCCCCCGTTTCTCTTCCTACCCTGCACCCCGTTTTCTGACTTTGCACAGAGGTGACCCCCGCCGACCATCTCATCCGGGTCGAAGGAAACCCCCAGGCCCGTTACTACACAGACCCGGCCACCAAACGGCACAGCGTCTGCGTTCCTTACCAGAAGCCACAGGTGAATTTTTGGGGGGGTGAGGCTGGGATGTGGGGTCCCCCCCAGCTCTCCACCCTTCCATTTCTTCGTCTGCTGCCCTCTTTTGGGCTACCCGGCGTAGGGTCTGTAGTGTAGAAATACTGGGAGGGCTGTTTCTATTCAGTTTGACGCCAAGAAATTTGGCTAAAAATGGTTGGGATGATTGGTTCTTGTGGCGAGGAGTTCCGTTGGCTCCTCCTGCCCTGTTTTGCCCCTTGTGGAGTTCTCCATCCTCTCCCCGCCACTTTTACTGAATTCCCAGTTTCTTCCCAGCTTTCCCCCGTCCTTGAGAGCCGCTCGAGGTTCATTGATTTAATCCCTCAATTTATGACTGTAATGGAGGTTTACTATCACAGTTGTAAGTGATGACAGTCGCGAAGAGGGTCACCCATACGACCGAACTGATTTTATGACCTTTTGGCAGCAGTCGTTAAGCGAACACTATGGTCGTTAAATGAATCGTGCGTCCGTTGTGTCAAGAAGTAAATCATCTCCTTTTAACAACCCCGTAATACCATGCGGGGTAAGAGCCTGGGGAACTGAATGGAGCTGGGAGTTTTACTGGCCGGATGCCTGTCCCTGTTGCCAGTGCGGAGTTTTGTTCGGCAGATCTATTCTCATTCTGCTCAGAGAAATATCTGCAATCCATCTCGGACCGAAGCTGTTTGTGAGACAAGAGCTCCCCCTCTAGGCACCGTTGCTCATGCCCAAAATGTGGTCACATGACCGGAAGGGGGGGGGGCAGGCGGCTGTTGAAACTTGGGAACTGGGTAGTGAGTACCCCGTGGAGATCCATCGTAACTTTGAATAATCACATTTCTCTCTCTCTCTGCCCTGCAGGTGGGGATGGCATGTTCCATCATCCTGTACAATTACATGTGCAACAGTTCGTGTATGGGTGGCATGAATCGACGTCCCATCATAGCCATCCTGACGTTGGAGACCTCACAGTGAGTGTCCCTCTTCCTCCCCCTCAGCCTCTTCCTCCCCGTCTCAAATGGCTGTTCCTGGGCGGGATGAAATTAGACGGCATTCAGCACGGAACCAGCTACCCTGTTTGTTGACCCACAATCCGGGCCCGATTCCGCGGGGTTGGCCACCAAATCGTAGAATCCTAGCCTTTGGAGGGGGGCACGAGAGGTCATCTAGTCCAACCCCCTGTGCAGGGCAGGGATTCCCAGGTTTTGTAAAGGTGGGTCATCACGTGACTCCGATCTAATTTCAGGATGCCTTTTTTGTGACGGTCGTTAAACGAACCCGCTATGAGGCGCTTTTTTGCCAGAAACAGGAAGTAAATATCAATTTCCGTAAAGCAAAGAATTGTAGTCATGGAATTGCAAGAGGTTGTAGACAAGGCAGAGGTTTGGAGCTACGGATCCAGTTCGGAAGTCCATTTTGGGGATCCGTTGTAACTTTGGACAGTCGCTAAGCGACCATTCCTAAGTCGAGGACTTGCTGTAAACACGAGAAGCTCAGTCTAGTAAGGAATCATGGGTTGTGTAGAGTATGTGCTAGAATTTGAACCCAGTGCTCGTCTGGAGGCTGTTGAAGAAATGGTATAAAACCTCTTCTTTCCCCATAGCGGGGAGATTCTGGGACGCCGATGTTTTGAGGTTCGTATCTGCGCCTGCCCCGGACGAGACCGACGGTCGGAGGAGCAGGCGAAAGAAAAAGCCTTGGAAACTACGAAAAAGAGTAAATTGGAAGGAGGTAGGAGGAGAAATGGCAGAACGTGGGGGGCGGAGTCAAAAGANTGCTGTCGATCTTGCTGTGACCCCCTAGGAAAAGGTTATGCCCCGCCCTGTATTTATGACTGTTGCTGTGTCCCAAGATTTTGCAACCTTTTGTCAAGCAAAGTCAATGGAGAAGTCAGATTCACTTAACAAGTGGGTTACTAACTTATCAACTGCAGTGATTCACTTAATAACTGTGGCAAGAAAGGTGGTAAAATGGGACAAAACTCACTTAGCAAATGTCTCACTCTACAACATAAATTTGGGGCTCAATTGTAGTTGCAAGTCTAGGACTACATGTATAACATTTCCCAACAGTTTTAGACAAACATTTTGCTCAATTTGACTTTCAATGGTTCCTAAGATATGATTCATTTTTTCCTGCACATTTTAATTCCAGTTTTATTTTTTTGCAAATGTTTGCTTTGATTGAATTTTGTAAAAACAAAAACAAAAAACACCTTAATATCAAAGCTAATATTAGAGGAGAAAAAGGATATAGCACATTTCTGTAAACAAACTAAAATAAATATTGAAATAACAAATAACAAATTTATTTGCTCTACATTGCCCCCTCCCCATGTTTTCTTCCCATGAAAACCTGTTGGAATATCTTGGGACCAATCACAGATAAAAGCAGAAGAATTGTGTTAGGCCTGCAAAATATCTTGAGAATTTTAGGAACAATGAGAAAACAGCTTGTTTCTTAGTATTTAGACTGAAGCTCCTTTGATCATTCAGATGGCTCTGTTCTACCCCAAAAGGATCAATCAATTCCTCTGGCAACAATAAAAAAACAAACAACTAAATCAAAGAAAGTCATCCGTTAAGCTCAAAAAATACAAAGAACTAGGCAGATGATGATTTATTAAGTAGTTACACATTTGTTCACTTGTTAAACAACTTGAAATATTCTATTTAACAAAAGGAAAAAACTGAAATTTAAGCTTGTAATTCATCTACTTGTTCAAACCACTTTTACAGATATATTTGAAATTATGAAAGATAAATGAAAGCTCACTCTCCTAATAGAAATGTTAATTAGAGCCATTGTGTCATTTGTTTTTTATTGCCCTTGCTGTTGAAATAAGAGTATTAATTCCTTATGTGGTATTCCACTTTTATTTTTATTTTTATTAGGAATGGCAAATGGTAAGTAATTAAAGGCAAAGAGATGACTGAAAGCAAAAAAGACATGTGAGAATCTTGCTAGTGAATTCTAGGGAAGAGCAAAATGTAACATGGAAATGAATTGGGATATCAACCTCTTTATCTTTAATCATTTGTTGTTTATTTATTGGTGCCTCCCAATCAATGTTGACTTCTGGTGAATATCTGCTCAAGTCCCTGCAGTTCTCTTGGCAAGATTTCAAAAGTGGTTTGTCATTGTCTCCTTTCTATGGCTGACCCAAGATCACACAACAGACTTTATTCACAAGGCAGGACTAGAGCTTATGGTCTCATGGTTTCTAGTCTCATGCCTTAATCATTACACCAAACTGGCTCTCTGCTTACTTATAGTGTTAACTATGATCCGTGGTGGTGCAGCGGTTAGAATGCAGTACTGCAGGCTACTTCTGCAGACTACCAGTTGACTGCAATTTGGCAGATCGAATCTCACCAGGCTTGTTTTCTTCAAAACAAGCTTTTTCTCTAAAGCCCAGTCTCCCTTTGCTATGGGCATACCAGTTATTTTTTCCACTTTTTATACCTAATGCTTTTCTTTATGCTTAATATTAATCCATGTTTATCTATGCTCTCCTGGGGTCTTGTAGTAGTAACATTTTAAACAGTTCTTTGGTGCCAAATTCTGCCTTAAGATATAGAGGCTAGAAACAGGCTGCAGAAAGTCTAAGTTAATAGATTCCCAGTTAAACTACTTGCCTAAGGCCCCTGTACTTCCTTCAGGTTTAATCACATAGCTCTGGTTAAGGAGAGGAAAATATGAAAATATCAGTATCCTGGCCTGCTCAGGTGAGGTTCAGTGGTACCCTTCTGGAAGTCATTGCAGAAAACCATGCAAAACCTGGACTTTTTGCTAGTACTGAATGAGTATATCTCAAACACAATAAACAAATCCTCAGGATGTCCAGTATTCAAAATGATCTGTTGAAAACCTGGAGTGTTGAAGGAAACATAATGGTCACAAACTTACAAACTTTTTCCTGTTGAGTACATGGGTGTATCAAAGAAAGTTATGTGATCCTTCCTCAACTCTGCTAAACTGGGCTCTCTACTGCTTGCCAAAATCTGTGCTGGAAAAAATGTTGGAATGGGTTTTTTTGGCAGCTTGTTCTGTGATCTCTTTTATCTTACTGAAAGCTGAAAGGCATTAAATTGCACAGTAAATCACTTAACTAGAGCTAGAGTGTGATGGCTAGACCACAAAGAAAAATAATACAATATATACATTTTGAATATTTTAGTATTAAAATGAAATAGCATAATAACATGATAGGTATAGCTTATAATTTTCAACATTTTAATCTGTTGTTGTCATTGCTGCAATGTAGTTCTGAGAAATTTGTGATTTGTTATCTTGTACTTTTTTTCCTTTTTCGAAAATGAATCCTACTGAATCTAAGACAACCAGAATACTAATTGGAAATAAGAGATTACAAGTATGTGCCCAAAAATGAGGTGGAAAATGTAACTGATTAATAAGAAAAGTATTCACCATCTATATAGTTCTACAACTCTCAAGTCTGTTTGTTTGTTTGTAACTTTCGACTGGGTGAAATTGGAAAGTATAGGGCAACAATTATTGAAGCATGATAACTCAAATGGGCTAACTTACAAAATGCTGGGAGCCAGGACTCCTGTGCCAATAAAATTTGATAAGGTTGTGGATGCTTCAGCACCACCACTCCTTTTGACTACATTTTTTACCTGTGTTTCACTGAAAATAAGACCCAGTTTTATATTTTTGGGGGCTCCAAAATAAGCACCAGGGAAACACGCTATCAGGGTAGTCAGCCTGGCTGGATGCCTCACCCCCTGGTGTGCACACAGGTGGCAAGCATGCAGTAACCAATAGTGTCCAGCAGCATCTGCAGTCTGCCAGCCCCTTGGTTGGTACATTCTGGGGCTGCGCAACCCATGCAGCACAGGTGAGTTGATTACCTGTCCAAGCAGCAGATGGAGGCAGAGACGCGGTGGGAGCACGCAATTTGGACATGCTGTGCAGGCTGCAGGAAAGCCGAGAGATGGTAGGCCAGAGCAGGCGGGTGACTGCAGGACACTTGTCTTTGCACAGTGGCACCAGCAGCAGACGGAGACAGAGGCATGGGAGGGAAGGCAACCAATCCTGACAGGCCGTACAGGCCTCAGGCAAGCCAAGAGATACAAAGACAAATCTCCCATGGCTTCCTGCCCACTCCATCCCATCATCTCTCGGCTTGTCTGTGGCCCATGTGGTGCATCAGGATCACCTGCCTTCCCTCCACAGTGCCGCTATGTGAAGACAAGCCACCTACTGCCCACTCCAGCCCACTGACTCGGCTTTCCCGCAGACTGCGCAGCATGTCCAGAGAGCCTGTCTTCCTCCTCTGCCTCTGCCTCCGTCTGCCGCCAGTGCAGGGTCTGCAAAGATGAGCCTCCTGTGGCCACTTGCTTGGTCCTGCCCACTGACTCTCAGTTTCTCACGGCCCCCTGGGATGTCAATAATTTCTGCACCAAAGCGAAGGATCTCATCCTATTATGCTTTACTGGCAGGATCTCATTAAATAGTATCTCTATTCTGGTCTATTAAGAATCTCATTAAATATTATCTACTCATCAGTACAAAAGGTATAAGTAAATAACTACCTACCTAGAAATACCAAGAATTGAACACAAGGTCCAATTGTTGTTGGATTACAACTCACATCATCCTTGATCACTAGCCATGCTGATTAGGGGTGACTGAAATTGGAATTCAACTAAATCTAGAGGACACAAGTTATTTATCTCTACCATTTAGACAAGTAATAATAAAAGGAAGAACATGAAATTCTGAAGTACTATTTGTATTTTTCATTGATGAAGATGATATAAACATTGATTTTAACAATTCACCACAATGTGGGTGCAAATAATTGTGATGAATGGTACCACCCAACAAATATTTTGCTTATGTTCTTCATCACCATTTAGTACTATATACAAGAGGATTACAAGCAGAAAGTGATGAACTTTGACCTTTCCTCTGTAATACTATGTGAAAGAAGCAGGATAATTTAAATTTAAAAATTTCATTGTAAGTACCAAGGATAACACAATGTGACTTGAGATGGTGTTCTGTGGATTCTTATGATGCCTGTGGGGAGTAGGAAGGTTGGCAAAGAAGGGAGCACCCCTTCTTTTTTTATAGCATCTGAAAAAGAGGACTGGATGCCTAATTCCCTGTGGTATATTTGCAGCACAATCTTCTTCACTATGGGATCCTTCAGAGATAAGTGGAAGATATCTCTCCACACCCTCAACCATGCTGTCTGACAATAATGAGAGATGGTAAAAACCATCTGGAAGGCCCTGCATTCTAGAAAGTGGTGTGTTTTAGGAATTAGCTCACGAGCATATGAAAGGGGCAAGACAGTTCCAAGACTTGAAAAGAAGGGCTGTGAAATTGTTAAGGACAGCCAACCCTCTTCAATACAAGCATACTAATTCAGACCCTCCTTGAAGTTTTCTTGTGTGTCTCCCATTGAGTTTCTATTCCCATAACATTGTTTTTAGCACAGCAGTAAAGCTACTCAGGGGGGTTCTGTCTCTTGTTTAGTTGGTAACAGATTTACAAAAGATGCATCAAAACAGAAGGGCTGGAAAGGCCGTACAGCCAGTTTGTCCCAGGGCATTTCATATCCAGCCATGCTCATGACAATCAGACTGCATTGTGGCTATTGCCTGTTCCCTTGACAGAGGAATCTCAGCCATTTCGACTTTAATGAGTTTGGATCATTCTTGTGTTTGAAGTTGCTGGAACTACATCAAACAGCC